GAGAGAGAGAGAGAGAGAGAGAGAGAGAGAGAGAGAGAGAGAGAGATGATTGAGTGATTATTGATTAATTGATTGGTTGCTTGGTTGATTGATTGATTGATTGATTGATTCATTGATCGATCAATTGATTGACTGATTGATCGATCAATTGATTGATTGATTTGATGGATTGATTGATCAATTTGTTGGTTGGTTGGTTGGTTGGTTGATTGATTGATTGCTTGATTGATTGGTTGATTGCTTGATTGGGTGCTTGATTGATGTGTGGATGGAGATGTGGAGGGAGGGTTGGGTGGGTGGGTGGTTGGGTGGAAGAGTAAGGCTGAGCAATGTTGATTGATTGATTGAGGGAGGGGTGGTCAGATGGTTGGATAGGTGATTGGGCGGGAGAGTGGTGCCGGGAAAGGAGTTGATTGATTGGCTGATTGATTGAGATATGGTTACATGGAGTGCATTCAATTTCTGCGTGACAATTCCAGTCAGCTCTGCACGACAAAAAGAAGCAACGCAATTTCTGGCTGTCGATCTTCAAGATTGACTGCCAGATATCGCGCGCTGTTCTACACTGTGCCTGCAGGATTTCGTCCATCAGATATTGTGCGCTGTACTACACTGTGCCCGCGCGATTTTGCTTGAACGGGCATTCAATTTCCAGCGCCCATGCAAAATCGCGCAGGCACTGTGTTTACACTTCCCCCGTGCCACCTCGCCCGACACCCCACTGTGCCCGCCCGCAGCCCCACGACTGCCGCCATTGACCAGGTAAGACCGCCCCCAGCTTCTTCATCTTCTTCTTTTCTTTCTTCTTCTTCATTGTGTGTGTGTGTCCAATATATCCCATGGTGTACTCACACCCCGTGGAACCCATGGTACACCCCGCCCTGTCACAACGAAACTAAAGCTGTATGTTGCCACTCTACTACATCTCATGAAGCTACCTCGTGCATATGTGGTTATCCATGACCAGCTTTCCAAAGTGCCAGATATATAGGCAAGAGGGCAAGGGGGAGGCAGGAGGGCAGACAACATGCAAGCACATCAGCAGGCAAACCAAAAAAACAAGTCCCATAAGGATGCCAAGATCAGGCAGACAAGAAAGGCATCAAGGCCTGCGAAAACAAAGCAAGCAAAAGGACATCAAGGCATAGGCTGGAGGGCAGACAACATGCAAGCACATGAAACAGGCAAACAGGAAAAAAATACAAGTCCCAAAGAAGACCAGAAGACCGAAAAAAATACTAACTGATGATAAGTTGATAACAAGATTGTTTCGTCGGAGTTGCACCGAGTCATCAGGAGGCTGAACAGTCGACAATCTGCAGAATCTCTGTATTTGATGGTTTGGGTCATGAACCCTTTGACCCTTGTTGAAGGCAGACTGTCCCCAAGCGGAACATAGCAGCAGGCAGCAACCCTGTGGAGCACCAGGCAACACGGTAGAGGCAACACAGCTGCACAACGCCAAAAACGACTGCAAGGAACGATATGGCACGCAGAACATGCAGCGCGGCAACCGTGTAGTGAAGCACAAGGCGACACAAGCAAGGTAACCACACTGCAAGGGACGGCAGGGCGAGCGGACCAGCAGCTCGGCAACCGTGGAGCGAAGCACAAGGCACCAGCAACAAGGCAACCATCCAACAAGGCCCGCAAGCAGCAAACACGGAAGGCACGGGCAGCGGAGCAGCGAAGCGGTAGGCAACATCAAGAACACGGCCACACCACACAGCGAACACATCAACCTGCAAAGAACCACGTGAAGCAAGCGGGACAGGCAGCAGGGCAGCGGTGGAGCGCAGATGAGGCCGTCCACACATCCAACACGGAGCAAAGCGGCACATGACCTACTCACATCACGATTGAACCTTGCAGACTGTTGGTTCCCACCACCCACTGAGCCAGGGAGACACTCCGACGATCATACGTCATCACCCACATGCAACACAGACACCCCGAACTGAGCGCCCCCCTTAAGAGTGCAGTAGGCACTCCAGAACTGGAACCACCGACTGTTTGGCACTACTTAAGGGTGCTCAGTTTGAAAAAGATCAGAGGGAGGACAGACGACAACAGGAAACCAGACAAACATAAACCTGATTTTTTTTGTGTGTTTTGTTACGATACAATACTGCTGCGACCGTGGCATGGCATGTTGCGTCAAAAAGCATGGGTATGCCAACACTTGGATATGAGCCCGTAACCTGGTATGCCTATGAGACGAACGCGCAAAAGTCATGCAAACGCCAGAAAAGCAACAGACCACAAACCAAAAGCTCCAATCAAATAGCGGTGAGCCAAAGAGCAAAATGGCAAAGGTAGCAATGCACGAAAGACAGTAAAGCAAAGGGCTGAAACCAACAAGGCATTGGACAAGCATCGTGCAGCGAGGGACAAAGGCTGGAGGGCATGAGGGAGCTGGGCTGTCAGACAAACAACACAGCAGCAGAGCATGAAAGCAGCGAAGCAAATGACGAAGGCTGGAGGGTATGGGGAGCCGGGCAGGCAGGCAAACCAACACAAGGCATCAGGCCATGAAAAACAACGGAAAAAAAACGCATAGGGTGGAGGGTATGGGGAGGTAGGCGGGCAGACAAGCAACAAAAAGCAGCAAGGCATGAAAGACGGTGGAGACATAGGCTGGAGGGTATGGGGGAAGCGGGTTGGCAGACTAACAACTCGAAATAAAAACTGCTGATAACAAGATTGTTTCGTCGGAGTTGCACTGACTCATCAGGAGGCTGAACCCTCGACAATCTGCGGAACCCCTGTATTGATGGTTTGGGTCATGAACCCTGTGACCCCTGTTGAAGGCAGACTGTCCCCAAGCGGAACATAGCAGCGGTCAGCAACCCTGCGAGCACCAGGCAACGCAGTGGAGGCAATCCAGCTGCACCATGCCGAAAACGACTGCAAGGAACAATGTGGCACGCAGGACACAACCCGGCAACCACACAGTGAAGCACAACGCAACACCACCAAGGCAACCACACTGCAAGGACCCACCTGTGCCCAGCTTCTTTATCCCACCTGTCTCCCTCGACTTTACCTCCCCCGACCACCAGTTCCCAACTTTCTATCTGTGGAGCAAAAGCTCCCTTGACTTCACCTCCCCGAGTGTCCCCCGTTTCAGGACCGAGCTTCTTCAATGGGCCAGTCGCTGTGCCTCCCCACCGGTCCCCTCCCCCTATGAACATCAGCAGTCTCTGCTTAGTGCCGCTTGGGGGGACCAAGAGCTTATCTCTAGATG